GGAAATCGTGAATAATTATGATTCTGATTATTTTGATTACTACACCCCAAGCATGCGCACGGCTATGTATCATCATACAGTACAAGGAATTCTGAAGTTCAACTTCAACCTGCAATCCTTATTTTGGGGTGTCATCTGCCATATAGCTACCTACAGTACAAGTCATCTACCAGGTGCCCTTTCATGGGTTCACTCCTGCATGGCACTAATATTAGGGCGTTCGACTTTTGATTTCAAGCAAGGAACCCCTTTCCACGGGCGGTAAGAAGGGAAGCCAAGAATAGAAACCTCGCTCTCGATGCGCCCACAAAACCACGAACTGACCTGTTGGGACCGCTAGAGCTGCCGCAAGTCTGAGTGAGTCCAAGCGACGTTGCAACAATCTCGAATCCTTGAGTGCACCCACTGACTCTGCTCGACTCGACTGCACGCCTCTCACCGGCACTTGATTCTTCATTAGCCTGATCGAGGTGTGTGATCATGATCATATGTGGCGCTGCAATCCGAGAGGGGGCGAGCGTTGCGCCTCGCCTTTGCTCGGTCCTTGGCACGTCAGACGCCCACTCCAACTCGGACTTTCTACAAGGATTGCGACCAGATTGATTGGAATTAAATGATGATATGAATATGAAATTACATCCAAAGAATGTCTTTGAATACTCTGTCTGTAATGAGGAATCTTGGCAGGCTACATAGTCAAAAGTGAACGCACCGTCAAGCACGAGCCGCCTCGTCATAGTCGACTGTTTGAATTGACTTGAGGATCTTGAGTGATCAAATCAGAATCAAGAATGGTGAGCGATGGGAAGCGCGAGTTTTGAGTATATCAATAATAATTTAATGCGTGCGAGATGATGTATTCAATAATCACGAATCGCGTCCATCAGCGCGCCTGCATGCATGACCGCCCGCCCGCCCTCCGCCCGCCTGTCCGCGCCCGTCGGCCATGGATCCGAGCAGCCAAGAAGCGCCCGCAGCGCCATTCCGCTGTCAACGAAGATTTCTTGGCGTGCATACATCGC